CTTCCCCTGGCTCCCTCTTCTCTTGGGGTGGGCCCATTTTGGGAAACTCCTCTTCAAACTTTGTACACTCTTGCTCCCCCCACAACTGAGGTCTGGAGGTGTGACCTCCCAAAGGGACAGCAGAGCTGTGCCAGCGTAGCCCAGTGCGGGGGCTGGTGAGCTGTGCCCTTGTGTTTAGCCAGGACAGAGCTCCTTGGGGGTTGGCAGGCTGAGGATGTAGGGTTACTCCAAGCCTGAGCTCTGCAACAGGGAGATACTCTTTCCTAACTCGAGGAAAGATGGAAATGCTGCAGCTTCAGAGAAGTCAAGTCCATGGTTACAGAGCCACAACCAGGCAGGGCTGGCTTACGCTTTTGCCAGGCAGAGTAGCAAACATCTTGGGGCGAGGGAAGGAACCCCTCTCCAGGCTTTCATTTATTTTGGTCGGGGATACTGGCAGTCAGGTTGCTTTGAGGAGGTGGAGGGTAGCTCAGAGCCCAGTGTTAGCCTTGTCCTGGTTTTATGCCTGTTCTTTTGCAGCTCTGAGCCCAAATCAAAAACTTAACTCTGCTTACCTGGGGAGACCATGGTGGTTTGTTTTATGTCTGTCTAGGGGGGCTCAATTTGGCAGATTACAAGTTTTTTCACTGCTCTGAGAGTGGGAATTGGAGGAGCTGGTAATTTGTCATGTCGGCAACATATTCTTTTGGCTGCAAGATCTCAGGAAGCTGCAAGTGTCTCAGAGCCCTTCCCGAGGTCACCTTGAATTTGGCAGCTTATGACAAGGCTGAAGGAGCAGAGGAGGCAGCTTCATGTTGGTGGTGTTCCCAGAGTCCCTACTGATGGCACTTTGAAACTCTTGCCCCATGGAGCTGGGGTGCTTTGCAAGTGGTGAAGAGGGGTTGGAGGCTGTGGTGTCTCCAGGACCTGGGGAGCACAGTTTCCTTGAGCTCACTCTCCTTCCCTGTGAGAGTAGCACCTGCCCCCTTGCTTACCTGCTGCTACCAGTGCAGCTTCATGGCGTCCCCAAAGGACTGCTCTCCCTGGCTAGCCGGAGCCATGGGGTATGCCAGCAAGCTAGAGGCAAGGCAGAGTTGTCACAGTTCATTGTGATTTCTCAAACCCACAGGACAGCCTACTATGTGAAACAATTTTTACAAGCTCATTAGGTGTTTTTTTTTTAAAGCAATTAAGGAGTTAATCCCTTCTCTGTAGACTAGCCTAAATTGTTAATTCTCCAGTTAATTCATTAATTTGCTAATTTGTGCGCTTATGAGCGAAATAGTTACCTAACTGATGGTGAGAGTGCCCATCCTTCCTCCTCTGTCACGATGCAGGCATCCCCTGAATTGCACTGGGAAGCACGAGAGCCTGAGCAGCCGGCTGCTGGTGGATCTGCTTCAAAGGCTGTTTGGGTGAGCTGATGTATTTATACCTTCCAGCTCAGAAGTTTGGTCTATACTATCCCTATTGGTCGCTTCAGTTACTGGACAAGAACTCGCTTAATTCCGAAGAGATTCAGTCTTATCACGTGTGAAAGAGCAATTCCTCATAAAATCTTTGGGACAGGTTGAGCTGATGGTCTTTCATGTGACTGGTTTTCTGATCTCTCCATCGTGCTGGGGCTGCTGGGATCCCACAGCAAGCCAGTCTGGAGAGTGGAGATGGCAGAAAGGACGAGCACGTCCCTCAACGTGAGGGAGGAGAACACTTACATGCTGACAAGACCATGACAGCTCAAATACAGCCCTTCTTTGCATCGTTTTTCCAAAGCTGACAGTGGTTAAAGCCCTTTGCAGGGCCACTCTTGTAGCGGCTGGCATGTCTTTCAGCATTTCGGTGTCCATAGCAAGGATGCTGGCCGGAATTTGGCTCTCTTGGGTGCTGAGCACCTTGCAGCAGCAGAAGGGACTGGGAACTAGGCTCCAGGGTGGCACTGCCTGCCTGCCTGGACCTTGCTTGTTCTGCAACTCTGACCGCTATTTTTGATTTTTCATGAGCTTTTGTTGGTCAAAGCCACTCTGAAAGGTTTTGCATGGGAGGCCTAGGCGTAGTAGGGATCCACTTCTCAGAAGGGGGAGCAGCAAAAATGATTTCGGCACTACAGAAGAGAATGGAAAAATCCTAAGGGAAAGGGGGTGGGGGGAGCTAAGCTTTGCGCCAATGCAATTCCTGGGCAAGACTGCTGCTAGCTGGCATCTTGACTGCATAATCAGTGGTTCATTTTATTTTTCTGTGCAGTGATCACAGCCAGCACTGGGAGGATTTATGGTAAATCAGGAAAATGAGGCTAGTCATCCAAACCAAACCCTAGCACTCTGCCTGAGGCCTGCCTGCAAGCCTGGCGTTCAGTCAGCCATCACGGATAAGCGTTGCTCAGCAGCGCATCTGTAAGCACAAAAAAGGGAAGGCGCTGGAGCCCACCATGCATTGCACCAGGGCTTTCGATGCACTGTGAAGCCACGAGCTGCAGCTCTGCAAGGCCAACGGAAGCACTTGGTGATGTCCAGAGAGCTGGCCTTGCAGAATCACTGCCAAGGGAGGCCAGTTGAAGGCCTCCTGCCACAAGCACATCTGATGGTGGCAGCCCTTCCCAGGCCACCCCTTCAGTGCCACCTCAGTTCAGAGGAAGAAAAGTGTGCAAAGTGGTGTGTCCCCCACCCAAAGCAGTGCAGCCCGGGAAGGGGCGACCTTCATCCCCAGTTCCCTGGCCAAGTGGAGCCAGCCAACCCTTGCAGCCAAGCTAATGTGGTTCAAATGTAGAAGCAGGGAAGCAGTAGTGGCAGATGATAGATCGAATGGCAATGGCCAGAAATTGGAGCTGGGAGGTTCAGGTTGGACATCAGAAAGATCTTCCCCCAGAGGGTGCTGCAGCCCAGGGACAGGTCAGCTAAGAGGAGGATCTCCAGTCTTGGAGGTTTTCAAGGTGCAGCTGGACAAAGCCACGCCACCCTAATCTGCTGTTGGGAACAGCCCTGCTGCAAGTGGGGCATTGGAGTAGTGACCTTCAGGGTCCCTGCACCAGCTCTGCAGGCACCTCTAAGTGCCCCTTGCGTTAGCAGGAGATAGAAACCTTCATGGGATGTGGAGGTGCCTGGCTCGCTGCTGGGGCGTTGTGTGTTCTGCTTCGGAGGCTGCGTTCGGGAAAAACAGAGCTCAGAAGTCACTGCACAGAGAATAGTCACAGAAACCAGCCTCTGAATGTTAACAGTGGCCAAGGAGATGCATGTGCATGCATATCAGCCGCTATTGCTGGGAATTCAGAAGGTTGT